TGAAATGTTACATGGCCCAGATCCACTTCTGCAGAGCTGCTGCCAGTCATCCCATCCTCCCTCCTTCAGTCTTTGTGCAGTTGGTTATTCTTATCTAAAAGTAATGCTTTGCTTTTGTCTTTTTTGATCTTTTACACATTTGAATTCTGTTACCATTATCCAGTTCATTTGGACCCTAATGGTTTGGTCTGTCTGCAAGTATCATACAAAAAATTATTGAGGAGTGTCCAAAGCATATTTCTGGGCAGGTTTGCTGAGGGTATCCTTCCAGTCTGATAGTGGATTTTGATAAGTACACTCTAAATACTCTCTTCAAAATGGTACCAACTGTACCATTCTAGTGTAATTTCTAAAATCTAAAACAACTGTCCCTAAATTTTTTTACTAGTGTATGATGAGACCAGGGATTGTACATGTTGCCCTCAGTTTCTCAAAAGCAATTTCTTGTGATTTTGAGACTGTCTAACCCAAAACCAGCGCAATCAGCGCATACTGTTTATTAGGCTAGTTTAGAAAACTCTGAAATTAAAAGCCCCAACCTGTTCTCTCCCTAAGTTCTTATCCCTTCGTCACTGATGTATTGACACCTGGTGGCAATTAATATGAGCAGTGAAGAAGAAAATCCTAAATACTTTGCTCTTCTCAGCACTACTTATTATTAGACTTTCCTTCCTGCTTAGTAGGCCAAATTTTTCCTGGTCCCCACTTCTCCGATGCCTGTACAGGGTGATTCTGTGCAGGATCTGAAGATCCACATCAGTGCACATCCAGCATCACGGGTTTTTGACTGTGTAGGACTTCAGTAGGAAGGGACTCAGTGCTGGGAGGTGATTTGTGAGTTTTGATGTGATAGTAAAGATGAACAGACACATAACAGGACTGTGAAGCTTCTGCATGAGTATGCAATGGCCAAGGGTCCATGTTTGTGCATTTTCATTTAGCAGAATGCTACCTATCTACAGAATGCAGTTTATGTACTTAGTGAAAATAAATCTGTTTCAGGTACATAGACTATGACCCTAAATGCGAAGCAGCAAGGAGGAATATTAAATGATTAACTGATCCAAGAATATGCAGTGAATAGTACTAGGTTTTCTCTGAACTGGAAAATAAAGCTAACAAAATTAATGTGACTGTGAATGGCTGTCATTTTGAGTTACTAGAGCTTGAACTATAAGCTTATTTTGTCCGAAGTCTTGTAAGAGCAGTCTCAATTCTTTTACTATTTTGCTGGAACAAAGTTCTATGTATTTTAGTAAGATAAAATACAATGATAGTGACTTCAATAAACAAAATTACTTTAAAATGCTAATTTCAGAGTTAGTGTTCCACTAACTGTGGTTCTTGTCAAATGTGTCCTAGCTCTTTATTTTTTGTTTCAGAATTTGCCAAATTTTACTGGAGGAATGGTTTTGAACTAGGTTTTCAGCTCAAAAAAGTTTTAGTAATGCTGCATTGAGCTCCCCTTGCTCTGATTTCAGGCTGTGCATTTTCATGGGATTATAATGGTTCATGCATGGTTGAAATTAATAACTGGAGCTGTTAGCCTTATGTAAGCAAATCATCTTCTATTGTATCCTCTTGCTAAACTTTCATTGCAGCTAGTTTAACTGTTCATGACACCATTCCTATTATTTTGTTTCATAATGCAGCTGCTTTGCGTAATGGTCGTATCTGGAAGCCACTTAGTATGTCAGCATAGACCAGCTTGTTGTCTGTATTATTGAAACTGTCCATCAGAATGGAAGTTGCTGCTATTGAATTTATAAATTCAATCCAAAGGTGAGCAAAGTTCTGATAAAGAAATCTTAGGTTTGTTTTTCAGAAGGGCTGCAATGATGTTTTGTTGTTGGAGATTTATTGGTTTTTTGTCTTTGCATAGGAAAAAATACTGTGGTTTATAGTCCACTTGGCTGTACACTTCACTTTCCATGGCTGCCTGTATTTGAATGAAAAGACTGATAAGCTTTGGAAGTAAACTGGAAACATATCTCACTGAATAGGTGATTCTCCCTGTTCTAGAGATGAAGGGAGAAATACAAATTGGACTACCCCATCTTTTACTTAGGTGTTAATAACAGCTACAAGTGCATGTGTTATTGCTGGAGAGCAGGGTATTGAGGATGTAGACCTAGCCCTTGTGGTTTATCCTGTTCCATTTAAGATTAATTAGGTTATTGCATGTGTAATCAAGATTTATGTTGCTCTGGCAACAGAGAGACACAGCTGTGCTAAATTTCCTAGATCTTTGAAGCAGTTGTTCTTACCCAAAATGATGTTGAGAATTCCCATCAGCATGTGAAAACAAGTGTATCTAAGAGGTGTTCTCATTAATAGACTGAAATCTTGCCCTGAATTGAGTGAGTCCATGCTGCTCATCAAAGGGTTAGAGAAAATAGGCAGTAGCAAGAGAGAAGACGAGGAAGGCCTGTGGCGCAAATTAATCAGGAGCAATTGATTTCAGGACAAGTGGGAGCAATGCAGGAAGATTACAGTGGGTTCCAAGAGGCCACTGACAAAAGCTTTGTGACGTATCCTGGGTACTGTGCTTGGCCCAGATAGAAAAGCAAGGAGGAGCTGTACATGAGCTAGGTCAAGAAGGAAGTTGCAATAAATGAAAAGAGTGTGGAAAATAAATATTGTAGGTGACTGCAAGGAGATAACCTGCGGTAGGTGAGGAAGTCTGCAAGTGATTCAGAACTGCAGGTTAGTGTGAGAAGCTTTTGGGGTAGACTGTGGTAGAGGCAGTGTTTTTGGACTGAACACTACTTCTGCGCTTCAGTTTCAGGACACTCCAGGCATCTGGGAGCCAGCAAGTATTTTGTCCATTTGAGGATGAGGTATTTAATACCATTAGTCAACACTGTAAATTAAATGCTTTCAAAACCAACAGCAAAAATCCAAACACACTCCCCCTCCCAAAAAAAAACCCAAAAACCCAAACATGATTTTCAAAAAATGTTGGAAATGGGGGTTATCAGTTTTATTTGTTTTCATTTCAAGGTCACTTGCTGAAATGTATTTCTTACTTCAGCAGCAATAAAAAATACCCAAGCAACATGACTTTCATTAAAGCAGTATCCTTGAAAAGTTAATTATCTAAAGGGTTGCAGATTGTTAATGGAATGGGAAGAAATTAGATTACCTTAGAGTCAAAGAACTCTTAGTGAGATATATAGCTATGAAAATATATCTCGTGTTTGTATAATTCCTTTTGCCTTCTTGCAAGGTGTAATATTTTGGGGGGGTGGGGTTTGTTTGGTTGGTTTTTTTTCTTAATAAAGAGGAAAAAGAGAAATGTAAGAAAAAGTCAATGGACTACAGCCTATTTACTTCCTGACAATTTACTTCCTGACAATTTGTTAATGAACAAAAGTTACATATTATGGACTTGTGATCCATTTCCCTGCAAATTCAGCAGGATTGAAAATACAGTTTTTATCCAGTTTCCTAATTTAATAGATCAGCTGCAACAAAGGGCTGTTGTAGTCTCATGAACAAATCCCCAGGAGGATGCCCAGGAAGCACTGAAAGGGAAAACAATCCTGCTCTTCAGTTTTTGTCCAAGCTGCTTCCTTGCAGTTGGTGGATGTTTGTTGAGCTGCATTCATATTTCGGGGGCTTGGCAAGACTTGTTGCAGAGTGACTGAACAGCTCAGTGCCAGTTTACTGCACACTCCCATCTCTGCTCCAAGACTCTCCATGAGCCCTTTTAGCAGGAGCATAAGCAGAAGAGAAGAATTGAGCATGGGAAAAGCGTCCGTAATTACCACCTTCTGCTTCTCTTCGCTACTCTTATCAGACAGCTTCTGGGAAGCTTAAATGAGAACTGGAGCAGATGCTGAAGCAGTGGGATTTCTGAACAGATTTTCATTACCCACTTTGCAAAACAGACTTTCCAATTATCCAGGAAGTTAAATCCAGAAGTTGGATGAAATGAACGTTTTCTACAATTCATGTCCAACAGAGGCACTGTTACTTTCAAAGCAAAGAAGTTGTTGTGGTTGTTTTTGTTTAGACAGAGAAATAGGGGCATTGAGTTTGGCTGGTAAGGTTACATGGATCTAAGTTTCTGTGGTTTTTCGATGACAGCATATTTGTCTAAAAATGATACAGCTGCATTGTTTTTGTTTGTTTTGTTTTGTAAACATTGAAATGGAAAGGTTAATTGCTGGGACATTTCCTGCCATTGTGCAAAGTAAAACCTGATAGTATTATGGATCTTGACTGGAAAGTCAAATTGGGAAGTTTCATTGTCATGTGCCTTAATTGTTTGCCAAATAGAAACAATCAGCAGGAATGGAAATTGTTACAAAATGGTGCATGAAATAATTTGTCTTTAAGTATACTACCATTATTCTATTATAACCAAATTATTTTCTTGACACTATTTATTAAGAATATCTAAAAATAATAACCTCTAATGGTTTGTTGTAAGACATGAAAGTCTCCAGCACGATCTGTGTAGCTGAAGACTCAGTACCAGTTCCAGTGAATGAGAAAGTTAAAGGAAGAACTTAATGGTCTTGGATTCAATAGGAAATGAAGCCAGATCTCAGTCTGCATTGGAATTCAATGTAGGCATTTTAGGAAAATAGAGGAAAAAAGCCAGCATTTGGAATTCAGTATGAATGGTTGAAAACATTCTGCCTTTTCATTTCTTTTTAAAAACTGCAAAGGTTGAACAAAGAGCTTCAAGTAGAAAGATAAAAGAAAGCACTTGGATACACTGAACCACATGGTAGCTAAACATGAAATATAAATTAGAGCAGGGAGCTTATCAGGGAACAAAATAAAATAAATGATTGTTAGTCTTTGGAATTACTGCTTAGAGGACTGCTAGGCAGTTGAACAACCAAAGAGAGTATGTTTTGAGGCAGAGAAAAAAGACAGCTGGAGACATGAAACACCTAATTTATTTTATTTAAACAAAGGATTGAGCTTTCAAATCTAAGGAATACTTACTTGAAAATACTGCAACTAACCTATTCTATGTGACAATATAACTTGAAATGGATTCTTAGAAAAGTTTGATTGAGTAACTTCTGGTACATGTAATATAATTTCAAATCTATGTTGCTTCTTTTGTTCAGTCTGTTACAGCTTTTCACTCTTCAATGAAACTGAAAACATGCCTATATATGTGCTATACTGTTCCTGAATTTAATTTTTATGTAAAATTAGTAAAAGGTGAACTAATGCAAAATAAAAGAAAATCGTGGATTGTAGAAAAAAAAGATAAATTATGGATTGTGAAAATATTGAACATAAATGTTTTGAAGAGAGATATCGATAGATACTACAGTCAGAATAGACTGTGAAAATTGTTAACAATTTGTCCCTACCTCTTACATAGTACCAGTGAAATGGATCAAGCCTCACATACTATTCTGTAAACATTGACACACACTTGAAGTATGTTGTTTTTTTTCAGGTACTGGGATTAATTCCCATTTTAAATTTTTTTTAAATAAAAAGGATTCTTTTTGTATGACAGGTGAAGGACAGGTTGTGTCTGTAGAGCAGCTGTGCTTCCAGCTCACATTATTACACATACATTTAAAAAAATAAAAACGTTTTTTCTCATAGATATCATAATTTCTTATATAGTCTCATCTTTTCTCTCATACTAATGTATTTCAATACTAAAAGTGACAGGAAGAAGAAATTTTTATTATGGTTCCTAAGTGTATGTTATTTGAAAATCAAGGAAAGTAAATTAAAGTCTTTGCTTCTGACCTTTTCAAATGCAGTCAAAGGAGTAACTTTTATAATTTTATCTTGATAATACATTTCATACTCTGTTTGATGTTTGGAAGCAGGCTTTAATCTCTGTGGAGCTCTTGGACAATTGAATAAGTTTTGTTTCAATAATGGGAAGAAATATTTCCCATATAAACAGGCAGTTTAAATTAGTTTGAAAAATGCCTTAACACTTTGGAACATAATCTCATCAGCCTTCATCAGATACTCAAGCCTGACCTGGTTGGTCCTTGGATGAGAGGATACATTAAGGAAGATGTGAGATTCTGTACAATGGGATTCTGCATCCGCCTGGTATTCTACATGAGCTCAGGAGTAATACTTGAAGTTTAAGAAGATACCACTTCTTGAATCACTAAACTAAAATATATGCTAAGACATGAAGATAGTGGAGTGGAAGTAGGGAAAGTGAGGTTTTGTTGACAAAAAAATTTAGCAAAATAATCACTTCCAGAGGGCTGATAAACCACACATCACTTATGAATGATTTAGGGGCTTAGGTTTCAGGTACCAGGTTATATTTCAAGTAACATATTAGTAGTTTCCGTACATTACATTAGCAACAACAGGAAAGTTGGTTCTTAAAATCCTGTTCACAGCTGGTTGCACTGGTGATCGTAAAGGTCTTTTCAAGCTAAATAATTCTATGATTCTATAATCATTTTGCACTTTCACTGAATACAGGCTCTCTTTTATACCAGATAAGCTTTTACTATATTGGTGAACTTGGGAATGTGCCTGTTATTGCATAGTCACGTTCAGTTACATAGTGCTTTACAGGGGAGGTGATACATTCACATTTTCTCTTGACTTTCATGAAATAAAATCAGATCCTTAGAGTAAAGACTATTTTATAAATATGACTGGTAGATGGAAGTAATTTATGAGTATAAGCATACAAGGTCCTGAATTATGCATGCCATATTATAAAATATAAAGTCTATACTGGAACAATTTGTGTTTTGTTATACATAATCTTCATTATGTTTTCAGGATGGAACATGAGGCTACCCAGCTAGAAAAGCAGCACGTGCACAGTGTGTATGAAAATACTGCTGCCTACTTTAGTGATCTGCAGACCAAAGCATGGCCTCGTGTTCGGAACTTTCTGCTGGAACAGAAGCCTGGCAGTCTCGTTGTTGATATAGGTAAGCCATTCTTTGAGGTGGCATAAAAGATTGTTTATAAGATTTGTTAACTTACCTGTTAATTATATTTAGCCTTCATATCAACTGTTTTTTAAAGTTGTTTAAATCTGTTTTAAAATAGTTTTTAAGCCCCAATGCTAGATGCCATATACAACTTCTTTTCATTCTTTGGCAGTGTATCAGTAGACAGTAAATAATTTTTTCCTTCATTTTTGTTGAGCTCAGTCTTAATATATCAATTTCCCCACTGGCTTAATGGTCTTTCATTCCCCCAGAGCCCTTTTGAAAAAATTATCTTAATAGCCCAATTATTTAATATTCCAGTTTCTTTAGATGGCTTGGTTTATGTAATAATACCAGTCTGCAATTTATTGGTTTTAATTTGTTCTAAAGCTCCTCCAAGCAAGGCTTTTTCTTAAATTTTCTGATGTGATTGCTGTTAAAAATATAAAAAAAAAAAAGAGATCTAAGAATCTCCATATGATCCTAAATATGGACACCATATTTAGGTGTTTTCCTGTTATGGCATTGTCTTCCCTACATGTAGTATTTATACCTGGATTTTCTGTTGTTTTTGCAGACTCTCCAGGGGCTTCCAGGTGCTGGAATGTTTCCTTTGCTTGCATTATGATTTCAGTCCTATACAGCACATTGCAAAACAAATGCTTGTTTTCACCATTGTCTTTTCCATACTGTTTAAACTAAAAAATACTTTTATACAGCAAGGTTTAACAAATGTGCACAATAAATTATGCATCTGCTTTATAGTTTAAGAGAAAAACATTACTTGAATATGCTGTAGGCCATAATCAGAAGACAATATGTAGTTCTCCTGCTGCTATTGAGCATTATATCAAAAATACTTAATTGATATTACTTCGAGCATGTAGCTATTTTTATATGTCTGCATCATTGTCACTGATAATCTCAGGAAGTTCCTATGGCATACACTCAGCTGTGAGCTAGATTGATACTTCTCAACCAAAATCATTGCCACCTCAATAGAAGTCGTTTGCATCTTAGCTGAAGTTTTTTGAGGCTTTATCAGCAGTGATTGCTGAAAGCTTAAGGTCACCCTGTTGCAGTGTCATCAAGAGAAGGTCAGTCCTTAGAGTTGCCAATAAGAATACTCCCACTCAGGCACACAAGATATCTTCTTTTATAAGGTTTAATAAGTTCTACAGGAATCTGACAGTTGTATTTACTTTTGGCATGTATTTAAGGAGGAGTTGCACTAAAGTGGCACTAGTACTTAGTGGCACTAAAATTTTCAAAATCTTGAATTGTAATTTTCTTTTCAGTTTAATACTGCCTTTTATTAAAACATAATTTTGTCTATTTGCCTTACTATTTTTCATTGATCAAAACACATGAAAATAGCTTGGCCATTCTTAGCTTCAAGGAATTCACCTTCCTGATGACTCATTTAAAAGTGAATCTCTGGCAAATGTAGATTTTTAGAATACTGGGATTGTTGACACTATTTAGCTTCATTCTAGAGAGGACCCTATACTTCCAAAAACTCACAGTGATTAAAGAGTACTTCACCAAAAGCCATGTATTATGCAACTGAATCTTCCAAATTAGTGATGGTTGAATAAATGTGTTCCTCTGCAAACACAATAATGAATAATAAATTATACAAATTTTTAAAATTTGTAGTTTTGTAGCATGCAGAGCTTCATGTATTATTGCATATATTCCTTGAACTGCATTAGTAATATTAGTATTTTCCATTTTTCTCAAGTGTTACTTCAAAGAACAGTGCTTGCTTTTAGCTGAGAAATATGCTCTTTTTCACAACTGAAGTGCTGTTCTGTTCTGCAGTGGTTCCTGTGCTGTCTCTCTCGATAATGGTGCACATTAACATCACCGAGAGCAGCAGCGCTGCAAGAAGCAGTGATGTTTCTAAAGATAACTCCAAGCCTTTAAATCGAATTACCAGTACTGAGATGATTCTCTTTGCCAAGCTGCTACCCCATTGCTTGGCTGTCAACTTTCAGAAATTATTCCTCACTAGTGACCCAGAGCTGCAGTGAACTGCTCCCAGTATAATTTTGAAAAGTGCTTGTTATGCATAAGGCATTGAGGGATCCTCTGAAAGATTTCAATTTAGTACAGCACAGCACAGTCCTTGAGAAGACAGACTTTTAGGTGGAAGACATTCTGGAACAGTTCATTACATTTACATGGGTTCTAATGCATTGGCACAAAGACAAAAACAGGATGTGCCTGCAATATAGAAAGAACTTTCATGATTTATAATTATTTTTGAGTCTGTATCTGTTGCAGCCTGAATTGCTGCTAGTAAAGTCCAGGGTAAAGAAGCAGAAAGGGCCTTTGCATGGTATGCACAGATGTTTAATTCAGCCGTGCAGTGAGATGTTCAGAGTCCCAGGCACACACACATGCAGGGTCCAGGTTGCTGTCTCTCAAAGGGCCTGGGGTGACCCTGGTCTGGGAGCAGTACAAAGATGAGGGCCAGTCAGGGAATAGGGGTTCAGGGACACAGGAACCGACGTAGGAACAGGGCAAGGGGCCAATGGGGTTTTATTGGCTTTTTGAGGGAAGCTTCTTGTGTTTCCCCAACCTAGGGGATGCCCCCCAGCGTATCCACATGTATCTAAAGTAAAAATTTTCCACTCTGACTTGTCTAAGTGGCATTTATGGTTTAGGACTTCTTGGAGAAAAATGGGATGCATCCCCTGGAGAAGTACTGTATGGGGTTAAGCAAAAGAAAGAGATCTGCTGCAGATCACTGAAACATAACACAGTGGCTTCAGGAAATCCCCTGAACAGAAAGTAGTTGGAAGCTGGAATGGTACTGGGGAAAGGGGCCTTAATGCTTATCCTTTTTTTACCCTCTCCTGGGCGCCCATTTATGCTCTTTGTTGGTAGTGGGATACCAGGTTATGTAGACTCAGTGTGAAGCAGCATTGTTGAGTTTTTATTCTTGAAGATGTACAATACAAAGGATAATTCTTTCCTCCTCCCACCTGCACTTATCCCTGTTCCCCACAGAAATACAGATAACCTGCTATTATACAGGGCTGTGTAATAAGTGTTTTTGTTGGTGATGTTGGTACTGTTACAATCCTAATAGTGTGAATATACAATTTAAACAGGACAAATGAACAGCAGTTAGGCTAGTCGGCACAAACCCTCTTCTTGTTTTTCAGGAAAATTTAGGATTAGGAAAGCCTGCATATTATTTTCACTGCTTTGGGAGGGAGAATAAATGTTTGGAATATATGACTTCTGATCTAGTATCCATTTCTTTAGGTTGTGGAACTGGAAAGTATCTCAGTGTCAACAGTCAGGTGTATAATCTGGGCTGTGATTACTGTGAAGGACTGGTAGAAATTGCAAGGAAGAAAGGTGATGAAGTTCTGGTGTGTGACAACCTTAACCTTCCCTTTAGGGATCAGTGCTTCAATGCAGTCATTTCAATTGGAGGTAAGAAAACATACCTACATTCTGGCCCCAGCAAATGAGAATTTCTGAATGTTCTTTTCTTTCCATGTGGCTTCCGTGTGTAATTGTTTTGAAACAGTTCCTTAGAATTGCAGGAGATATAACTTAAATTAATTTAGTCAACATGAATAAACATAACTCCCATTACTCAAGAGGCACTGCTGACCAAAGAAATATGCATATCACTTGTTTGTTTATATGTGGTAGAGAAAAGATTTCCTTCCAGCATGGATTGTAAACAAGTGAAAACTAATCTAAACATGGCTGCTTAAAGCTTAAACAGATTAGATGCTCAAGACAAACTCTTGGTTTCTCCATAGTATCTGTTTTGATCAGCAAATACATTGTAATGAAAACTTTATAGCAGAACTTGGAACTTGCATTAACTAATATGTGTTATGAATTTGGATTTCTCTTAGTCATAAGAACTCAGATTCATAAAAGCACATGTTGTCTAAAGTGACCAGAGCAACTCTGCATCATACTCTTTTGACATCTCTTTTTGAAAATACTACTTGTAATTTGAGAAGCATATTTTGCAAAGTGTAGATAAAAAAGAGTACCCAATTAGTCTACATTTTTAGCTCTAGTCTTGACTGAGCTCCTTTCAGGATTTTTAATTCATCAGCAAAAGTACAAAGCATGATAATTAATATTGATAGCAATCAACAAACTACTTGAAATGTGATAGAAATTTATTTTAAAATGTATCTTTACCATAAACAGGTGGAAGGAAAGGGTGACTAATACACAAGCAGTAATCATATTACTTTGCTTTCATGTTGGCTAGTTAAACCAGTGAGCCCTACTCACATTTTAGGTCTCATAGCATCATTTCAGTGCTTATCAGATCAGCTGACTCAGAAGGATAGCACATCTGTCTAGAGTTTATACCAATTATAAGCCTGACATGTTTAAAAGTTCACATTCTATTTCAGTACATTTAACAATAACAGATTTTAATCTCTCTTGAATAGAGACATGGTATGCCTATGTCCATCTAATTCTAAATAAAGTGGTTTTCATCCTATTACAGAGAAAAACAATTATTTATGTACTTAGTCAAGTACACTTCTTGGATTTGCTGGTATAATCATGTTTATAGGATTGATTTTTCTGCAGAACCACCAGAGTGATTCTAACCAGATGGAATATTTAACCCATTAAAGAGTTCGCACAGATTGACAATCAATTGGTTGACTGTCATTTCTTTCTGGTAAATTAAGCTTGTATGTGTATGCTGCCTCTGTCAGCAAATCTAGTACTGATGACATATAGAAAAACATGACCAATGTGTCCAAGCTCAGTACAAGTTAATGCCTCTAAGAGTTTAGAGAGAAAATAGTTCTCTTAGCTATTCTCTGACTGTTAAAATTGGCTCATTCGTACTCCAGGTGAATAGGAAGATAGAAATAATGTAGAAATCTTGAAATGTAGTGTCATTTCACATTGGAGTGAAATTTGAAAATGTAGAAATTGCCCTGGAAAGAAAATCAAAATATTGTGATCCAAGTTTTTATTTTAAATTTGACTTTATTTTTTACTAGCATAGCATAATGTAAAAAAATCATAAATGCTGAGACATGCAATGTAGACATTATGTTTTACAAAAATTAAATTTAATTTGACAAAATTAAAGCAATAGTGAATATTTGTCTCAATTTTCTCACTAGATCTTTTCCAAGTGTGTTGTGTGAAAGTTCAAAGTATCTTTTTACTGATGTTACATTTTGCTGTTATTTATTATATGGTGAAAAAAATTTCTATTTTCAGTAAGATAAGTCTGAAAATTGGGCCAAAAACTAAAGTCAACTAGATACTAAATCACCTAGTTTAAGTGAAAGCATGCCATGTTATATTGTGTTATGGATTATGCAGAGAAACAGAAACCTTAAGCTTATATGCCTAACTTTTCTTGAATCCCTATTTTGGATGAGATTAATTTCATCCTTCCAGATTTTCCTATTTTTATCTATTGAACATACAAGAGAGCAGTCTGAGGTAACCTTCCATTGTGGTACCTATAAATTCAGCACTGTTGCTGACTTGCAGCAAGTGATAATTTGGAGTGAGGCAACTGAAATGCTTGAACATGTAGAACAGGTTGTAGATGGAAATGCATTGTCTTTACTAATATTCAGTACATAATACCTTTCTTTTTTCACAGTGATACATCATTTCTCAACTAAACAAAGGAGAATCAAAGCAATAAAGGAAATGGCAAGGATATTGATACCCGGAGGCCAAATAATGATTTATGTTTGGGCTATGGAACAAAAGAATCGTCGCTTTGAGAAACAAGATGTATTTGTTCCATGGAACAAGGCCTTGTGCTCACGCCATTTTTCAGAATCAAATCAATCTGGAGATAAGGCTGGGTTTGTCCATACTGCAAAAGGCCAAGACATACACCCTGCAAAGCTTGTCATCTCTGAGTGCAGCTACCAAAACAATCTGCAGCCAGAAACTGATTCAAAACATCCCCGCAGTATGGACCATTGCTTACCCAGAGCCTGCTGCATGAAAATTTCTGAGGAAGAAAACAGATTTTACAGTGCTTTAGGAAGATCTTTCCGCTCATGGTTTTTCTCCAGATCCCTTGATGAATCAGCCCTGAGAAAGCAAAGTGACAAAATGAAGCACCTGAAACATGAAGGAGTGTGGGCCAACAGCGCCGTACCCATTCAACATTCACGACACTGCAGTTTGGATTTAGGTCACCATGGAGCACTATTAAATGAACAGAGTTTAGATGATGATGATGATGTGTTTGTGGAAAGCTTGTCTCTCAAAAAACCACAGTGGTCGCCAGCCACAGATGCACCGAAGGATTTAAGTTTAAATGGAGGACACCAAAATGTAGCTCAGAGCAAGGGGGACAAATCTTCATTTATAAATGGCCCAGTGGAAGACAGGGACTGCATCTGTGGTTGTAATAAAGATGGTGCTGGTAAGTCTGATGCCAGCAAGTTTTTCAAAAGAACTTCAACAACTGACTCCACTGACTCAGCTTTGGATTCAGCAGTGTCTGTTGGGGACCAAACGGATGCCATGTTGGATCCAAAGGCCTTCATGCGTTATTACCATGTTTTTCGGGAAGGGGAACTGAGTTCTCTGGTAGAAGAGAATGTGCCTGAGCTTCAGATACTTTCATCCTGCTACGACCATGGAAACTGGTGCATTATTGCAGAGAGAAGAGGAACATAGCTATAAAGAGAACAAAGCAGAATCCAGTGACTGGGGATTTTAAGCTCTTCCTTGTGTTACTGTGATTGTGCAGTGTGACATGGAATTTGAATAATGTAGTTGTGTGCCATTCATTTTTGAGTTATTATCTCTTAACTATTTAACTAGCTAATGCAAGGTCTGTATATAGGAATGTAAGTGGTAGGCAATATTTATGTTTTGTTAAACTTTTATGAAGTTAAAACTGTAGAGTTTTATACTGCTGTTAGCAAATAATTGTGTTTTAAAATATACTTTTCTATTGAGAAATAAACCTTTTTATAAAACAAGGATCAGGGCATCTTTTATGAGAAATATCCTAGACTAGAAAGTCTAGTCTTTCTTCTTCAGATGCCAGAAGTTTGTCACATTGCTCCCTATTCTTGAAGTCCTATAAATGAGGCATAGACACTATGTTTAAAATTGTACTTGACTGCACACTGGTAGAGTGCATACAGCAGAACTGGGAGCAAGCATGGTCCCAGTGCTCCTTAGTTGGGAGTAGAGTTATTAATGGGCAAAAAACTGTGTACCAAACAAGCTCTGCATATTCTGTCATTTGATGTTTGTATTTGGGAGTAAATGACAGCACAGATTTTGGACAGTATTTTTTACTTTTGTTTTTAAAATAATTTAATTTGTTTCTCAGGTGCAGGTGAAGTTTGATGTGTTAGCTCTCACAAACACATTATCTTAATTTCCTTTGCTGTAGATTTTCATTGGCTATGTATAGATAAAAGTCAGAGGGATTTGTGAGAGTGTGAATATTATGTAAAGTTCTAAAATAGCAAATCCTTGAAATACATATATCTTTTTGATAAGCCTGGGAAGCTAAGATTAAATTAATAAAAATGCAGTGCATATCTGGTCAGCTGTTGTATTTACTTTTCTTGATCACAGATATGAGAGTATATATTAACAGTGTGTTAAATAATGTAGACAGGAAGAGGATAAGCCCAGTTTGCATATAAAGTACAAATTCTTGTGAAGTTTAAATCACCCTTTTGAGACCTAGGTGATAATAGATGGTTTACACAACTTTCCTATTCCCTCTAAGACATACCATCACTATCCATCTGTAGTAGGTTGTAGCATTTTATAGTGCTGGGGATAAAAAGCACCTGGCTTCAGAAGATCAGTAGTGGAACTGCCAACAGAAGCAGGGCTAGAAGAGGCTAATTGCCTCATTAGCACAGAGTTACTCCATTCCTGGAC